CCAGCCCAGAAAGCCAAGAGAAAGAGAGCAAAGGTCGGTATGGTTTGCCAAGTTGGGAACGTCCGTAAATGCCAGGAAAACGCTGCCATCGTTGCTCAGCTGAAAAGACGCTCTTTCCCTCCCTCCCTCCTTCCCTCCCTCCCTCCAGCCGTCCCGTCCTGTCCTCACTCGCCCGCTCGCCCTCTTCCCCTCGGTTGGGTACTCCAGGTGTTTAGACGCCCAGGGAAAGCGGGAGCAGCTGCTAGGTGCTCAACTGCAATCGGTGTCCTACTTCTCTTTCCTGGCTCTGGAAATTGCTTTTTGCCCCCTTCGTTTGGGCTGGGCGTCCAAACAGAATATTCCAAGAATTGTGAAATTACAGTCTATTCAGCACCCCCAGCCTCCACCCTAGTCCCACTAAGATCCAACCTTTCCTCTGTGGGTTTTCATTCATCTAACTGGGGTACAGGCACTTCAAAATAAGAGTATTCTTCTGCCGGAAGAGGTGGCCGCAGAACTGGATAAAAGTTTGAAAGAGGGAGGCAGTTAGAAGCAACCTTAAAAAAAACAAAACACTAAACTAAACTAGGATGCACAGCCTTTGGATCCAGTTTAAATCTCCAAAGGTTGGTTATAGTTTGGAGGAGAAAATTTTATTAAAGACTTAAAATAAATGTGCTTCGTTCATTATTCTTTTAAAAGTAAAGGGTGGTGAGCCACAGGAGATTTCATCTCCGGAAGGGTGGAAGGAGAATAAGCCCCCGCCCACAAATAATTTTGCAGCCGCTGGTCAGAATTTGACCTTATTGTGTACATTTAAAATAAAGAACAACAACGGGCATTACACACAAATCAAAGATAAATTCTGCATCTAAGGTGAGGATGGAGTGGAGAGAATACTTAAAATGAAAGGGAAAAAAATCTTTGCTCAGTTTGGTATTCATTGTTCAAACTTTGGGGTTAATTGAGAGCTTAAAACATCCCTGTTTTAATATTCAATGGCAGGAGAGTTATAGGTGAGGCCCTTTTGAAATGAGTGAGATCAGAGGGTTTTTAACTCAGGTTTTCCGTCCAATCTTTTGGTTAAAATCAGTGTTTTACAAGACGTGGGCTGATTGTAAAAGTCACACCCATTAAGTAGTATTGTTGACAAGGTGGCAGGATTGAAACAGTCCCCGTGAAACGGTTGTAGTTGAACCAAAATGTGTCTGTTCCCAAACAGAGTGCCTAGATATTCTCCTGCCATCACTCTGCTGAACACCTAATTCTCACAATACTGTCTATGTCTATTTACCCATGTTGTATGGCATTATTATTATTATTATTATTGTTGTTGTTGTTGTTATTATTATCACCATTATTGTCTTTTACTACCCTCTCTTATTGCTATGATGATTATGATGATGGTTACTTTGTTGCTTTGCATGTACACTGAGAGTTTCAGCACCGGAGACAAATTCCTTGTGTGCCTAATCCTACTTGCCCAAATTAAATATTCTATATTCTAGTATATATTCTATATGCCACAAAGAATATAACTGAACAGTCCCTATCATGGGAAATTGTGTGTTGCTGGCATTTAAAAAAAAAGTTAATGTAGAAAAAAAATGTTATTTTTTTTAAAAGAAAAAAAATCACACTTCTTCCTGAATTAATGTAGGCACCTAGCTGGCAATGTTTCATACCCACAAGGAAAGAGGCATCCTTTCGGTCAGACACAATGGAAATGGGTTCATGGCCAAGGCTATAGTATAAGAGACTGAGGTCCTTTCTTTTCTGTTTTGTTTTGTCTTGTCTTCCTCCCCCTCCCACTTCCTTCTCCCTTCGATTTCACTAGAGGAAGCCAAGTCTGATACTCCAACCAGCAATTGGTTAACGGCAAAGAGTGGCAGAAAGAAGAGGTGCCCTTACACTAAACACCAAACACTGGAATTAGAGAAAGAATTCTTGTTCAATATGTACCTCACCCGAGAGCGCCGCCTAGAGATCAGTAAGAGCGTAAACCTCACTGACAGGCAGGTCAAGATCTGGTTCCAAAACCGCAGAATGAAACTCAAGAAGATGAGTAGGGAGAACCGAATCCGAGAACTGACTGCTAATCTGACCTTCTCTTAAACTGCACAACCTGGTCTGGCCACGATGCTGTTGCCATTGGTTGGCCCATGATTACGAAAGACTGGACCAGGTGGGTGAGTGGGTGGGTGGGTAGGTGGGTGGGTGGGTAGCGGCGGAGGGTACATGCCTTCGTGTTCCATTTTTTAAATTTCTGATATAACGTGTCCTTTTGTTATTATTTTTAGTGATGCAAATGTCCATGTATATTCCTATGATATGTCTTTCTCTCTGACTCTCTGTCTCTCTCTGTGTGTGTGTCTCTCTCTGTTTTTCTCTCTATCTCTCTTTCTCTCTGTGTCTCTCTTGGGTTCACATGTATAGTTTATTTGTTTTTCTTCATCGTAATGCAGGGTAAACTCTGATTGATCCTTATAACTTGGTCTTAACTTATTAGAGCTGTTGATTTATTCCGGACAATGTACTTTTTTTTATGTTTTTAACTAAACAAGGGGTATTTATGTGGGGGTTACTACATGGGCCATTACATTTGGAATATATACAACAGTTTAACAATAATTGAATAAAATGAATTAATAAATGTGCTCCCTGGATTTGGGAAGCGAAAGAAAGGACAAGCAAGCACATTTGACGATGTAAATCTCCATCTCCATCCTTCCGTGTGTTAGGCTTGTGCTTCACGCCAAGGTCTCTTTCATCTACAGCTATGGACGTATCTTTTTCTCTCTCCTTGTGGTGCATACGTGGAATCGTGGTCTTTACAAGCAATATGTCTCCTTTTTGTGCATGTCTTATTTGCATGTATAATGCAATAAATTCTGTAAAGTTATTGAGTTCTATTCGTCTTTCCAGAAAAACTGAGCAGCAAAGAGTTGGCTGAATCCCTTGCTGTGGGCCTGGGAAAAGACAAGCCTATAGGAAAGGAAAGCTGCTGGCCACTGACTGGTTCCCATTTTCTTCTTCCTTTTCCTCTTTCTCCTTCTTTTCTGAGGACTATTAAGTGTAAGATCAAATGCAATGGCTAAGCGCTGGTTGCAATCCTTTCAGGATTGAGGAAATCTTTGACTTAAGGCCAACACAAGAGTCCTTTTTACAATTACATGGTTAGTGGATTTAAAAACAAGCAAAGCAGAAACCGCAAACCAAAGTAAAGCAATCTTTGGAGCAGGATAAACAGGATGTTTTGTAAATACTGGCCATGGGCAATCTAGCAGGCAAGAGAAACTTAAGTGAAACCTCCCACACATCGTGCTTTATTTTCTTTTTGTGTGTGTTTAACTAGGCAGAGGAAACTATGAAGAGTATTATTCGGTCACCTTCTGAAAATCAGAGAAATAATTTTGTCTGTCTATCTTACCTAGCCCTTTTCTCTCCACTTTCAAAAGTTGCAATGGGTGCGCTGGATTTGTGGGGGCATGGATCAGTGCAAATCTGTTTCAATTTCCCTGCAATCTAGGCAGGGAAGTTTTGATTGTTCTTGTACCAAATGTCAAGATAATGGAGCCTGGGACTTTTTGCATCCCACATTCCTGCAAAATAAATATTACTAGCAGTCACTTTATCTTCTGAAAAAAAGAGGCTGGAAGAGAGGGAGGAAGGGAGGAAAGGAGGAAGGAAGAAGGAGGAAAAGGAGGCAGAGAGAGAGGGGGGGAGAGAGAGAGAGCTTGGGGCAAAGAAACATTGAAGCAAAAACGACGTTTAGTGGGAGTTTGCAAATGAAGGTGACTCTCAAATGAAGTCCAAATGGTACCATGGAAGAGAACATTTGTAATTCAGGGTTGGACCCTGGGGTCCTTGGTAGTCTCTGGGCTTGATTGTTTTTTTTGCAGACGTTTCATTACCAAGTAATGTTTGTCTGCAAGAAAACAACCAAGCTGAGAAAGTACCAAGGACTCCATGGAAATTCAAATGCTTGGATCCGTGTTCAGCTTCAAAGAGTAGGCACCCCATTGACCCCCCTTGCGTTCTAAACCCAGACTTTCCGAAAATACTGCATTGATTCCCTAGTGATACCTGAGTACGTTGGAAAAGGAAGCCCAGAGCATTCGTTGGGTTCGCTGCTTTTAGTCGGGCGAAGGAAGTTTTTTGACAAACTGCGAAGGGCTCCGTCCAGAAGAAACTGTTTTGAGTGTTACTAACTTCCAGGGATGTATTGAGAAAACTTTTCCCATTAGTTTACCCACTAGTTTTTATTTCTTTATCTGCTGATGTATTTCGCCTGTTTCTAAATTAAATGCGTTTTGATCTGGTGGATCGAGCACGTTTTCCCTTATACTTGAGTGGTTGAAATGTCAGTTTGGTATCCGGACACTTTACTGTACATAACGTAAATTTGGATTTGTTAACATCCTTTGAGGGGTGAAGAGGGAACATATATTTTCAAGAAACACCCACACGCTGCCATTCTTCGGCAGCGTCTCCGAGCCCACTTTATTTTGAACATAAATTCTGCGCCAGCCGAGGCCAATGGATTCCACAGTGTTATACCAATTAGGATAGGTACGTTTCTCAGTCTTACGCGTGGCTGGCTGGGTTGTGCGTGCTTGTGCATCGACACACAGGCACGCAGGCACGGGCATCCACCTATAAACGTGTGCGTTCGCCGTAATAAACAGTAAGGCTTTCACGTTGTTGGAAATTAAAAGGAATAGAGCTGCAAACTCGCAACACGCCGCCTTCCAGCAAATCTCCGAAAGGAGGGGTAGAAAACAGGAAAACGCCCCACCTCGTCTTTCTCCGCCTTTCGGGAGGCCAACGTGTCGGACAGAGGCGTCCGACTTGTTTAATTGACGCAAGACCTTGGATTCGCACGGATCTTGCCCCTCATTCAAAGCAAAGCCAGGTCTAGCCTCTCTGAAAAAGAAAAAAGGGGCGCGCTTGCAAAAAAGAAAGAAAGAAAGAAAGAAAGAAAGAAAGAAAGAAAGAAAGAAAGAAAGAAAGAAAGAAAGAAAGAAAGAAAGAAAGAAAGAAAGAAAGAAAGAAAAGGGGGGGAGGCAGTTGAATTACTAGAAGCCCGGCGAGACCATTGTTCCTCTAGTGCTAAAACCTACAGCCGGAAACTTGGCCTCCACCAGTCCATAATACAGGCTGTAAAACGCGGCTGAAGCTCCTCCATTTAATTGGGTATAAGGGAGGGGGGAGAGAATGGAGGTGGCCGGAGGCTCCCGGCTAGTTTAAAAAAACAAAAAAAGCATTTCTTCCTGGAAGTTGGCAGGGGCGCCCCCACCCCTCCCTTTCCGACTGCTGTCTTCCAGCGGGCTGGGCGTAAGCAAGGCCGAGGCCGCTCCATTCATTCACTAGGCGCACTCATTCATTTTTTTTTTTATTATTATTATTCTCTTCCCGAACTCCTGGAAGTTATACTACCGCTTCTTTGAAGTCCTTTGCGGTTCAGACGTCTGGGAAGCGCCGGCATTCAGCTTGATGTTAGCCCTGAACGCAGAAGTGGGGGGGAAAGGAGGGGTGGTGGTGGAGAAAAAGGGATGGAAAAGGGGAAAGAGAAAGACAGAGACTGAAAGAGAGAGAGACAGTGGGAAAAGCAGAGGCTCCGTGCCATCAGTCCGTTTTATTAGACGACGAGCACATTAATCTGTAATCAAATGCATCTCATAAAAAGATTTATTGCAAAGCATAAAATCATGGCGGGGAATAAGAGAGAGAGAGAGAGAGAGAGAGAGAGAGGTCTCGACTTCCACCTGTTTCCAAACAAGACCAGGGGGCAACCCCCCTTTCTTCCCACCCACCCCCGACCCCTTTTCTCCCACTTATTCAGGGGTTCCCATTTCACTCGGGCTCTCCCGGTTTGTCAAAGAGATTCCCTGGCAAAGCGAGCCCCGCACTGCGCAGTTGCACGAGGTGCCTCGCCTCTCGCTTCTCTGTGGGGCGAACCGGGATCGCGACGGGCGATCCTTCCTTTCTCCCTCCTCCTCCTCCTCCTCCTGGCGATCTTTCAGGGGTTCCTGGCAGCGGGAGAGGGGCGAGTTTAGCCGGGCCAGCGCTCCCCGCTCGTCGGATAAACGACTGGCAGCCCAAGAAAGGCGAAGAAATAGTCCGCCAATTTGCGCCACAGCTCTCTCTCTCTCTCTCTCTCTCTCTCTCTCTCTCTGCGGGAGGGCCACGCCCTCCCGGACTCTGGGCTGAGGCAGGGCTAGCCGTGGAAGGATTCGGCTCTTCTTCTCGCTCTCTTGCCCCCCCCAACCCCCCGCGGCGCACAATATCAGGGCCTTCGTGTCTCCAAGGCAGTTGGGAGGGCTGCGCTCCCCCTATGGCCGATGTGAGAGCGTGAGCGAGAGAGAGAGAGAGAGAGAGAGAGAGAGAGAGAGCGCGCGTGAGGGGCGCGCGTGCTTTTACGGAACGCTGCCAACCGCCCTTGCCGAACGCCAACCTAGCGGATTGATTTACTTCGAGTTATTGGTAAATATGATCACGTGGGCGGAGGGACCAATAGTTGACGCTGGGAAAGGCTGCAAAATTCCAAGCAGGATTCTTTTCCCCGGACCGGGAGAAAATCCCCAGTTAACAGTGTTAACCACTTTTTTTTTTCTTTTGGATCTCTCTCTCTCTCTCTCTCTCTCCTCCCCCACCCACCCCATGCCGTGCCACGGAGGGAATCTCCCCAAAATGTCGTCGGGCGGCGGCGGCGGCACCCTCCGCAACTACTACGTGGACTCGCTCATAGGCCCCGACACCGAGGAAGGGTACTACGGAGGAAGAGCAGGCGGCGGCCCCGGCCGGTTCCTACCAGGGGGTCACCCTCTGGCCGCCCCCCGGTTGCCGTCCAGTGTGGCAGCCGAGGGATCGGAGTTCGCCCCTTGCAGCTTTACCCCCAAGCCGTCCGTCTTCTCCTCCTGGCCGGCCCGTCCTCCTCCTGCCGCTCAGCCCTCCCCTCCGCTGCAGGGCATCTACCCTCCGTACGTGGCCCCGCCGCACCTTGGAGGGTCGGGCGAGGGGGCCAGGTACGTCCCTTCCTGGCTCGATCCCTACGCCTCCTTCCGCGGCAGCCACCACGCCGCCCTCTCGGTCTCCGACCCAGGCACCGTCGCAGCCCCCGGACGCCTCTACGGCATCGGCAAGCCGGAGCCCGCCGCCTCCGCGTCGCTTGACCCCCGAGCTTTCGCTTCTGCTGCCTCCGTCCCGTCCTGCGCCTCCGGTTCTCCGGCCCCACGGACTGAGAGGTTCACCCCCGGCGGGGGCCGTTCTCGCGGACTCGACTACACGTGCGACTCCTCTCTGGCCGAGGCCGGCGAAAAGGCAGCGGCGGCGGCGGCGGCGGTGACTGCCGGGCTGGGTGGACCCGCTTTCGCCTCCACGGCCAGCAACGCCAGCCTCAGCCCGGCCAAGCCAGCCTCTGGAGGCAGCCGTAACCCCAGCCCGCTCAGCGACCTGAAGGAGGAAAAAGAGGAGCAGCAGCTTGGCCCAAGTAAGTCTTAAAAACAAGAAAATAAAAGAAGGAAGGAAAGGAAGGAAGGAAAGAAGGAAGGAAGGAAGGAAAGAAAGAAAAGAGAAAGAAAAGAAACCACACACGCACAGACACACAGAGGAGCTGATTTATTGCCCCAACCTGTAAGGCTCCAGTGTGCGAAAGGGATAGTTTTACAAACCTATAAAAACGTCTAGACTCCTATCCCAGCAAAGCAGCCACAGGCACCCATAAAAAGGGAACCCCATAACCGCCTTCTATCATCAAGAAGTCCTCACTCATCCAGCCCCACAGACTGGGCCTTTCAGGCTTTTATGATAATCTCTCTCCTCCCTTGTGAAAAGTGCAGGGATCCTTCTGAAATTAATTTAACGACCTTCCTCTCATTTCTCCCCCTTCCCCTTCGGCTGCCCTCCTCCCCTCACCAAATCCCCCTCTCCCTTATTTTCTTCCCCTCTCCTGTTACCCCTCCTTTTCAGATAACCCGGCTGCAAACTGGATTCATGCTCGCTCCACCAGGAAAAAGCGCTGCCCTTACACCAAATTCCAGACTCTGGAACTGGAAAAGGAATTCCTCTTTAATATGTACCTCACCCGAGAACGGCGCTATGAAGTGGCTAGGATTTTAAATCTCACAGAGAGACAGGTTAAAATCTGGTTTCAGAACCGGAGAATGAAAATGAAAAAAATGAATAAAGGGAAAAGGGAATAAAGGAGAGTAACACTTTGAGGCATGTATTTGTGAAAATATTGTAGCGTGGATTTTTTTTTTTTTTTGATGATGATGGTGATGCACACAAACACACATGTATACACAGCAATTAATTGTTCTTAAATGTTATTTTCTCAGGTGTGTTGATTCAAACTTTAGATCAGAGGGATTTTTTAAAAAAATGAAAGATAGGGCGAATGATAGTTCAGAATGAAAAGGGGTGAACGGGAAAGCCTACTCAGGGCAGAAAAGACTTCCGCGAAAAGCTGGGGGTTTTTTCCTTTCACCTTCCACTTGGTTTTGAGATATAATGTGTGCATATTGTTTAGGGGCAGTTTATTGTGTGATGTGCTTTGCACAAGTGACTTAGAACACCCTCCTTTCCAGTGTCTTGCCCAGAATTACAGCAAAGTTAAGGAGCTTCAGAATAGAGCTGAATGGTCAAGCAAGCTTTTTTAACGCACTAGCACACAAAGCCTGCACTTCCTCAAAGACAGCTTGACTGTTTCCCCAATCTCTCTGGGTTCTGTATACTTTGTTTTCCAAGACTCATGTCAGAGAGGGGGACTAGGATGGGGATTCTTATGTGTAGCTAACCTACAGTTAGACTCACCGTCTAGGACTGGTGGAAACTTAATAATTCAAGTCTTAATCAAGAACCTAAGAATTATTCAGGTAGTCTCTAAGAATGTAGGCAATTCCAAACAGGGTAGGGTTCCGCCCCCCCCCCCTAAAATGAAGGGGGATTATTATTATTATTATGGTTAATTAAATAGCCAGATGTTTTTTTTAAAGAAGGTGAAATCACAGCTGCCAGTTATGAGATTGGCCTTCATTCTCATTGAGTTCTTCCCAAAAACCTAAGTTGTCATAATTGTAATCGTAATCAGCATAGTATATGTGTGGATCCAAGCAGTGGCCTTTTGAAATTGGCAGATGGAAATTTTGTCACTGAGAAGTTTTCTAAATGCCATCCAAGATGTTTTGGTATGGCATCGAGGGTGCCATTATTATTATTATTATTATTATTATTATTATTATTATTATTATTATATTTAAACACAGCTTCCTTTCTTCAGTGCAGTGTATTAAGAGTGGTACTTGAAGCTTTATTAATATTCCTAGTGCTAAAACACTTTGGCTCACAGTCTGTACTTTTGTTTTATTTGCGATCCTATTTAAGAATGAATTATTATTATCCATTCACAACAATGTGAAGCACATCTGCCAATTCTTTAACTAGTGTTGGCCTTTATACATATCGAGATCTGCCGTAAATTGTAATAATATATTGGCGTAGTATATATGTGGCTTAAAGCAGCATGGTCTTCTAGAGTTGACAGAAGAAAAAGTTGTCAATGCGCAGATTTTCTAAGTGCAGCCAAGATTTTTGGGTTTGGCACCCAGCATGCTGAAAACCACTAGGACAACCACAGCCGGTTTATGCCATAATCTTTCAATTTTGATTTTCAGATCTTGATACCTCATGATAAAGAATTCTGCAATCCATTATGCTCTTATTATTAATTTGCTTATTGTTCCCTGTTTTTTGTTTGCTTGCTTGTATATGTCTCAGGTTCTGGAATAAAATTTTGGCTCATGAAAATAAAATCTTCAGCTTTTGAAGGGGAAAGCAAGTGGGAACACAGATTATCTAGGTGTGACATATCTTGCCTCTCTATATCCCCAAAATTGCCTGCAACACTGCCCCCCCCCCCACGCCCTTTTTACCAGATCATCCGTAGTCTAAATACAGTGACTGGCAGCATAGAAAGACCAACTCCATTCTTCAAAAGTCTTTTCAGTGGTTGAAGGATTTTCTTCCAATCCCAACAGATTACCAACCTAGGAAACAACAGTATTTTTCTTGCTGGCATCCTACAAACATATTGCTTGTTCAGAAAATAATAATAAAAAAATAATACAAACAATAAACAAACAGTACAAAGTTTTCTGGACCTATTTCTTTTTATGGGATGGGAGAATGGTGAGATTAACAAATTTCTATTTTGAGATTTTTTTTAAAAGCAGAAATTAGTTATAATTATGGTATTCTGTACCTCCAAATAGTATCTTCTGGAACTTTTTTCTTAAAAAAATAAATAAATTTATGCCAGAAAAAAGTGATAAATTCCGCTTTTACCTGGCCAGTTGTGCCAATAATACACAATGTCTATTTAATCCTGGCCTTATATCAATCAAATATTTACCCAAGTGACTTCTTGTGATTATGTTTACATGCCTGTGTTTTTTTTAAAAAAAACTTGCTAAAATCCACTAACAAGACTGTGAAGTCCTATTGACTTCAAGAAATGAGATTTAAAAACCAGGGATGGATGAATGGACGGATGGACGGACCCGAGGGAGAGGCGAGAGTGGGGGAGAGAGAGAGAATAGAGGGGCATAAATGTTTTTTGGAAAGAGGGAAGTATTGATCCATTCTGAATTTAAGAATCTAGAAATAAATACCGCCTTTTAAGGTATCTGAACAACTATTTAAACACAGAGAAACTGCCTCAGGGACTTTGAGTCTTCTTAGATCTGGAGATGGTATCACACTTCCTTTTTCTCTGCTCCCCACTCAGCAGGCCGAAGGATAAAGGGCCAAGAAAAAGGTGCTGGATTGGTGCTCTATTCATCGCCAGCTCTCTGCCTATCATTCTTTTTGAAAACAGGAAGAGCCAAGGTATAATAAAACCATTGAAAAGAGCAGACGTCTGGACCTAATGAGTTTACAATAGGGAATGGTACTTTGAGACTATCATTATTTTGATGTTTGTGGGGTATTTTGGAAAGGGTGAAACACAAATGCTAACAAAGTGAGGTCTTAAAATGTTGGACCATAAATATCAACATATAGACGCCAACATCGGAAAAGTTGGGACAATTCTTGGGTTGAGATTGCCATTGGAGGATCAGTTTAGAAAAACAGAAATTGTTTTAAACAGATTGGGAGGGGGCTAAGGGCGGGCTAACAGACGTGACAAAATTAGACCCCTCTCAGACTTACCAGACATAGCAATTTAGAGCAAGAAAAAGCTCATTTCAGTCTTCGGAATTGAGCTGAACTGAAACTAAACTTCCCAGGGTTAATCCAAGTCCATGTGTATTGATTTCAAAATGTCACTAGTTAGTCTGGTGGATTCTGTCTGGAAACATGGGCATCTTCAATCTCTTCCAAGTTGCCTGTTCTTACATGTGCTTGAGAGTTCATATTTAGCATGACATGGAAGGGAAGAATTATTACTGTAACATCACGCAGGGAAATGAAGGTTAGGGTTAGGATTTTAATATTTAAAATAAGTTCAAAAGCAAGTTCAAAAGGGAAAGTGTATAATATGAAAATAAAAACAAATGTGAAAAATTCAGACTGCATCAAATTAGTTCAGATTTCATAGTGTCTTCAAATTATTTTTATATTTTCCTCTTAAATAAGGCATTTGGTTAATAAAAAGACCTAGTAATGAAATAACCTATGTGCTGGCTATTAGAGGACCACACTGAAATTACTGTATCTATTTTGCAATTTCTAAAAATGTCAAATAATAATAATATACAATAATACTTTCTCTTACAGTTCATTGGTAATTTTGCAATAATGCATACTTTGCTTTAAATTTTGGATTAGGTCAATAATATTCATACAAGGAAAACTAGCATAGGAGATTTTTTTTTAAAATTAAAGGAGATTAAAAGACAATGGAGTTAATTTTCTAATCTTTGTTGAAAAAAACTGATAAAAGATGGGATTTTATTCGGAAAGCCAGTTTAGATTTTGTTTGCCACTAGAGGGCGATATCGCTCTATTCTCTTATAATTTCCCAGCTTTGTCCAAGAGAATAAATTGTTTAAAATATGTATACAGTTTGGGTTTTTTTTTGGGGGGGGGGGCGTGGGGAGGACAGAAAAGAAGAAAAAACATGGATTTTATTTTTCCCCCATCAGCATAAGTGAACATGACTGTTATTTAGTATGTTTTATTAATTAAGGGGTAAAAGAAGCAATTCAGCATTTCCAAAGTACTTATAATAATTTATCAATTAAACTTAATATTATCAATTAAACTTAATTATTAAAGATTGCATAGGTGCCAATGAAAAATATGAATATTCAGACCATTCTTTTGTATTTAAAGCACACGGTAGGAAATTAAGTGAGACCTATAGAAATGTGTACTTTGTTTATTTTACTTTATTTTATCAAGAGGTTAATGTTGATTTTATGGAAACAAAACAGAGCTTGAAGTTTGCCCCGCAAGGGGCTTCAAGTTGCACTTAGGGACATTTTATTAATTAAACTTGTACACTGCCTCAATCCCAGAGGCAATTTACATATTAATATTAAAGCAGCAAATTTATATTGGTAAGCAAAAAACACGATACCCAATTAGTCATTAGAGAGGACGTGGGTGGGGGGGAAGCAAAATCTGGTGTCAAGTTTTATAATCTTTTGTTCTTCCACTCTGGTTTCAAATGCAGCAACTATAACATTCAGTTAAAGGTCTCAGCAGATGGCAGCACTTGGATGAGCCCAAATTAAGCAGGGACACAGCTTGGAAGGAACACCATCAGGAAATCTCAAGCAGAGACCTAGCAGGGGTAGCCCCGGAGTCCCAGAAGAAGCCAAATGGTAAACCACTCCTGTCTCCTGCTAAGAAAACTGCTCAAATGTGTCCATGAAGTGACCCAGAGCCCAGCTTGACTTTTTTCATTCCTGGAAATATACAGGGTGACTGGAAGACAAATAAGGCCTTGTGTGTGTGTGTGAGGATGGAAAAAAAGTCTCAAGACAATCCAAAATCTGTTCTGCTATGTTGCCAATAGTCTCACATTTAATATCTTTGCTGTATGAGAGTTCAGAATAAAAACACAGACACAGAGCTTAAAAAGAGACATTTATTTGAAAGCGAGGCCCATGACAATGGCTAATCAAAAGAAACAATACTTATATGTTAACAGGGCTCAGATCCTCTCCCACTCCACCCCAAAGAAGACATACATGGTAGATACAAGCTGGTGGAGATCTTTTAATGATCATGCTGAGCTGGGGGATCTGACTTTATGGCTTGCTCTGTGCGGGCTGAGTGTTGGGGCAGAATTTCTCGTACCACTGCTGTCTGCCATGCCAGACTCCCAAATCAAGGATTTGAATCTCTGGCCCGGACGGCCCTAAAACAAATGCCTTCTGCGGGTTCTGTTTTCTTGCCTGGCCACCACACCTTTTCCACCGAGAGCTCTCCGTTGGCTGGGAAGTTGCTAGGGCCTACAATTTAAGAAGTCTCAGCTGGGCAGGAAGGTTTAGAAAAATTTCTCTGATCTTTCTCTCGCTGGAGTTTCACCACTCCTTGCCTGCTTGCCCGCCGGGACGTTCCCCCAAGACTCTCGGTCCGATTCAGGCTCCAGAGACGTGCTTTGGGCCAAAGACACAATCACCAAACTACCTTCGGCTCTGCTTTGGAAAGGCAGCTGTTGAGAGAGAGAGAGAGAGAGAGATACAGGCCGGATTCGGCTGTTCCCCGACTTTGTGCCGCCTCTCCTGGGGAAACATTCCCCCCCCACCCCCTCTGCCGCACCCCCCTTAATGGGGGTGATGTTCACTTGCTTGGCTGGGCTAATGACACCCGCCGATGGGGAAATTGTGGAAAGCGTATTCATGGGCATGATTGCCATTAAGGGCCAATGAACCTGGGAGCTGCAGCACTGCGTCAAGGGGAAATGGGCATCGCATTTGCCCGCGGCCTTCCCAGTCCCACTGCATCCGCCGTCCTCACTCTCCTCCCCCGCTTGGTGGGCTTCGCTTTTCTGCGCTTTCCTCCTCTGACCCAGGCTATCCTAGCAACCCCATCACAAACATCCCAATTCGGCTGAGAATACCTAGGCCCGAGCCACCAATATATTTTCAAGGGCGACTAACATGGCCTCGAAGACACGTGTGGTGGTGGGATACCACAAGTCCCTCCGTCCCCTGGTGCCCTCTCTGTCGCCCTGGTCCCTTGTGGGGTTCTCATGCCTTTTGAGGGACCCTGCTTCGACAAAAGCACCGGCCCAGGGAATTGCATCCGCCTCTCCTAACAGGGGAGGCTTTGGGTTTTTCTGGGAAGCTGGGCAAGGCCGTTTGATCCGGAAGCAGAAGTCCTCTTCCCTATCCAGGCTGGCCACCACTTTGCACATGTCCAGAGGCAGGGCTCCTGAAAGAAACGACTTCGCTGAAGGGCTATTATAACCATAACATAGATCACAACCACAGCACAATCCTGAGCGATCTCTGCCCCCCAGCACTACCCTTCTGTAGCCAATCCCAAAGGTTGTCTTGTCTCCCCAGAAGTCCTACGGGCCTTCTCCACTCGGTCGCTTCTCCTCCTCCTCCTCCTCCTCCTCCCTCGCCGGAGATCCTCGGCGTAGTCCGCGCTCTGCCTTCCCCTCCAGCCCCTCCAGCGCTCTGCTTTATCTGCCCTTGATCGCTGCCCGCTCGCGCTTTTTGCGCTCAGGCCTCGCAGCGTGGAGAGCCCGGCGCTCACCAAGGGGCGGGCTGCGGGGTGGGCAGAGAATAGAGGCTGCTTGCCAGGGGCATCGAGGGGGCTACTGTAGGAAGGAGGGCAGGCGGGCTCCGATTCCGGTTCTCTCCCTCCACTCCCCCAGCCCCCCCCCCCCACACACACACTCCATACTTAGTCTGGGGCTTGGTTGTGGCCTCCGGAGGTTGAGCGCGCCAAGCCAAGCCAAGCCGCTCTCCTGCCTTGCCCTGAACTCTGGCCCCTGTGAGTGAGTGTGTGGCGGCGGGACGGCTGGTTGGTGTGTGCCTAATAGGAAATAGTAAAAGCAGTGAGGCAGGTCAGTCGGCCAGCGATCAGGCCCGGCTCTGCTCCACGCCGCCAGCTCGTCCGCGAAGGAAGGCAGCCGCCGGAGCAGCCTGGCCTAGCAGCTGGGTTATCCGGGCGGCGGCTGCGCAGGCCTCGGTTGGTGGCGGCGGGCGCTGCTGCTGCTGCTGTTGCGGCTGGCGGCGCCTCCGCTCGCCCCCCGCCCACCGATGAGCTCCTACTTTGTCAATCCGCTGTACTCCAAGTACAAGGCGGCGGCAGGAGGGGGCGAGCCGCCCATCAATCCCGCTTACTACGACTGTCACTTTGCGCCCGCCGCCGCCGCCGCCGCCGCCGCCCTGCTCTACGGGAACAGCGCTGCAGCCGCCGCGGCCGCCGCCGCTGCAGCCGCGGCCGCCGCCTCAGGCTACCCCCCTGCGCCGTCGGCTCCTGGGCCCGGCCCGGCCGTCAGCGGCGCGGACTTCTTCCATCCTTCTCCCCACGCTCCTCTTCCTCCTCCCCACTCGCAGCAGCAGCAGCAGCACCACCTGGCCGGGGGGAGCCCCTCGCCTTACCAGCCTCCCCCGCCTCCCCCGCCTCCTTTGCAAGCCCCCTGCTCCGGCCTGCCTTGTTCAGCGGAGCCGACCAAGTTTTACGGATACGATAACTTACAACGACCGACGATTTTTACGACACACCAAGAGGCCGAGCTGCTTCAGTATCCCGACTGTAAATCGTCCTGTGCTAATATTGGCGAGGAACCAAGGCCCTTAAATCAGAGCGCGTCTCCTTCTCCAGTGTTTCCCTGGATGAGACCACAAGGTTGGACCCAAACTGATTCCCTTTATTCTTCCCGTTCCCTTTCTCGGCGGCGGCGAAGTAACTTCTTCCTTCTTTCCTTTCCTTCTTTCCTTTCCTTTCCTTTCCTTTCCTTTCCTTTCCTTTCCTTTCCCTCACTTTTCTTTCTTTTTCTTTCTCTCTCTCTCTCTCTTTCTCTCTCTCTCTCTCTTTCGTTCGTTCGTTCGTTCTTTCTCTTTCTTTCCTTTCCTTTCCTTTCTGTCTGTCTCTCCTTTCTCTCTGTTTTTTCTTTCTTTCTGTTACTTTTTTCTCTCTCTTTTCTTTTCTTTTCTTTCCCTCTTAAACTAAGCTGCCAGTTTTACCATCAATCCCCTTTTTCTTTCTTTCGTTCTCCTTTTACAGTTACATTATACTGTAATATTGTTGTTATAGTGATAATTCCTTGTTAACAACACACTCGGTACAATTGTTTCTGACAATATTAGGATTTCTTAAAAACGCCCAAACCACAAATGATTTGAATTAAACCGATATTTTGAAAGAAAGAACAAACCAGAGAATATTTCAGATGTTATGCCGAGTGTTACTGCGTTTGGATCACGTACGGTACACTCAGAGTACTTGGATTTATAGCGATTTAATTCACTTTGTTAGTTGTAACTGAGGAAGAGATTTGAATAAATAGCCAGAGCTCATGCTTTGTGCGCTGGAAAATAATTTGTTCAACATACTTTACTCTCTGGGGCAGGAAAGCTAAAAGCGCTGGGGCTGCGAGCCAAGCTGCTGCTTTTAGTTGTTTTGTTTCCTGGTTTATTATTTTTTTCTTTCTTTCCTTTTGTAAAGAAACTCTGTGGTTTTTGTTTCCAACAGCAGCTCCCGGGAGGCGGAGAGGGAGGCAAACCTACAGCCGTTTCCAGACTTTGGAGCTGGAAAAGGAGTTCCTGTTTAACCCCTACCTGACCAGGAAAAGAAGGATCGAGGTCTCCCACGCGCTAGGACTGACCGAGCGGCAGGTCAAGATCTGGTTCCAGAACCGGAGGATGAAATGGAAAAAAGAGAACAACAAGGACAAGTTCCCTGCCACTCGGCAAGAGGGGAAGGAAGGAGAGGTCAAAAGGGAAGCCGACAGAGACCTCGAAGGACAAGCCTCGGCCCCGGCAAATTAAACTCTTCCTCTTCCTCCTCCTGCTGCTGCTGGGAACCTTGGCCAAAGACTTTGGGGCATCAACGGATAGAGGGGCCAGGTGCTTGTCTTGGTCTCTGCCACGTCCATCATGATTGGGACTAATCTCAAGGCACCTTTTGTTGTCTTTGAAACTACCTTTTGACATTTCTGGGCTAGATGAGAGTTAGGCTTTTGTTTCTGCACTGGGCCGCCTTCTTAGTTCGATTCCCATATGGCTACTGCTGCTGCACTTTCTACATTTTTTATTGTCTTTCTTTCCTTCCTTCCTTCCTCCTTTCCTTCCTTCCTTCCTCCCCCCCCCAATTTCCCTTGGCCTTTGATACTAAAAAGGGTAGCAGTTTTTTACCTACAGATTTTTACTGGGGATTTATGTTTTCCTACAAGGACGGAACGTCCGGCCTCTCTTATTATATTTTAAGAATCAAAGCAGCTAAGTGCACTTCTTTCAATCGCTTCAAATTCTTCAGTTCCCCCTTCTTTCTCCTAAACTAAGTTAATTAAGAAAGGAAATAATTTGTGGGCCGATGAGGGAGATAAGGAAATATTTTAATTTTAAACACTGATTTTTTTTTTCATTATCGATAATCAAAATAATAATAAAAAAATCCGACGTGTTATTTATGACCCGGCTTCTTCCTTCGTATTTTCCTTCGTCTATCACAGAAAGTAGCTCAAGGCAAGCGGGCAAACTACGGAGGCATTTGGGCCCCGTTTCTCCGAAGGGTCCTCGAAAGCGCTTTGTTCCGGGACCCCCTTCCAGCGTTCCTTGCCCTCCTCTTTGGAAAAGCTGAGCCTGACCCGAGATCCGAGCCGTGAGCCCAGCGCCTGCGACGGGAAATCGAAGCCCCTTCCTTCCCGCGTGTTTTGGGAGGAAGGCGAAGCCCGTTTTGTTTCACACGGCCCTGCTTCAGGTAAACGCGTCTCGCTGTGCTGCACCCTGGAAGGAACGGCTAGATTAGTAGTCAGTTGAAGGCAACAAAGTATTAAGGCAGCCAGGCTTCTGTCCGGCAGGCCGCGGAGCCCCCACTGTAAACGCAAAGCCTCCTAGATTCCTGCCAGATACGCGAGTGCGAAGATCAGCTTCCGATTGATTTTCATGGGATTTCAAAGCAAGCGCCGATTTCCTCTGGTTTGGGAGAGGGAGTGAAAAGCCGACAAACCAAGGCTGACTTCCTCTCAAAAACCGTGGGCTGCCGAGACCCTTCTTTATAACACCTAATGTTGCTTCTGCACCAGTCTGCTGTTGAGAATGGCTATTGTATATTCTCATCTCCATTGCTGAGAATGGACGTTGTACATTCTCGTGCATATTGTCGGGAATGAATATTGTGTATTATCATATTGTTGAGAATAAATAGTGTGTATTCTCACATATTGTTGAGAAGGAATGTGGGCGTATAAATTTAAATGCACGCTTCTTTCTTTCTCTTTCTCGCCAGTAAAAGAGCCCTTGTACCATTTAGGCTTATTCAAGGTTAGTTGATGTGGCCATGCCTTACTCAATGAACACAATGTTCTGCATTTGCATGACCCGCTGAACCAGTCACTGGGCTGCTTTTACTAATAACATACTTGACTAAAATGAGGTTGGCTAGTTTGTGTTCACATAGTCACCACCACCACAAGTTCTGACCGGATCTTCTTGAAGACAAAATGTTGGATTTTGGTATCTGGAAAAGGAAGTCTAGTTATACATCCAGTATGCTATCCACATACAATCTATCAAACTTGCAATGCACATATGTGTTGTTGTTGTTTTTACCGTTCAGGGTCAAATAGAAGCTTCATTATAAATATGAATCTTATTCAGTTTTCATATTAATAACACAATTCCAAATATCAGTTATTTCCTATTTATAAACAGTTGCCTTTCTTAGTCGTTCTGACTAGTTAGTCTGCTGGGATTATCTTTAATCTGGGTATTTCCAAGATTACTTATTCCCTATATATATGTGTGTGTGTGTGTGTGTGTGTGTGTGTGTGTATGTGTGTGTGTATACACACACACACACACACACACACACATATATATATATTTGTCTATGTAAGTTTTCACGGGTATATATGTGTGTATAGTTAATATTTCGGGTTTCTTCCCGTGTAATTGTGGATATATCCCTAAAAGGGTAGAAGCGACATTTGGACAGAATCTCATCTGCCATCGTCAGGCTTATGTGAGGAGTCTTTTGCAAAAGAAACCCGAAATATTAACTATACACACACACACACACACACACACACACACACATATACACACATATATATATATACACACACACATGCATATATATTATATAAATATATAAAAATATATGTGTGTATATGTGTGTGTGTGTATGCTGCCCTCAGTCATTCTGGCTATTAGGCATGATCTGCTGGGATTATCTTCATTTTGGGAGTGGTGCTTTCATTTGGATCGATTGGTGTAGTATCTTCTTTCTTTTCTTCCTGTAAATAGCAGTCCAAGCATGCTGGTCTATATCTAGGAAGATATGGAGATGTTCAGAAGCCTGGTTGCGGAATCAGAAACAAAGGAAAGTTGAGGAGGCGGTCCTAGCAACAGCAAGGACATTCCTACATACCTTCTCCCTGAAAGCCTTACAGCAGGCTCCTCAGAGGGACCAATATGGTGGGATCCTTGTATTGCAGTGTGAAAGGGAGAGACTAGTTTACCTAAAACCACCTAAAGAATTCTGGAATAACTGGGCCAAGATTTGAAGGTGGTTTATGTTGAAGATGGCAACAAGATTCTGCAGCTCAGGCTCTTTAACTACCATGCTGTTACCGTAACTAAGGTGCAAACTGCAGTTAGTAACAATTAAGCTCACAGGTCTGTAGCAGCCCCAGATCTCATAGAAAGAGAGAAACCTCTTTAAGCACCTTCAGCGAACTTTACTCTATGCTGGAGCCACTGTGTGTGTGTCATGTTTGTAGATAATAGGTAGAGTAGAAGGTTCATAGATTCCTCCACAATTTGCTTAAATCTCTGGTGAATTCATTTCCTCTTCCTCGTCTATTTAGAAAATGGACTGAGTTTGCTTGTGTGCATGTATTGCATATTTATTTTTATGTATTTGTATCCCGCCTTTATTATTTTTACAAATGACTCTGCCCCCAAATTTACAATTTACAACAGCATTACTGAGAGGGATTAGCCTGCTACCCTGTTTTTTCTGGTTTGTAAACTTGTAGACAGCTGTTTTATTTTACATTCTTTTCTCTGGTATAATTCTCCCCACTCACCCGTGGGGAGATCCACCCTCTCCACGATACAAGTAAGACATATAAAACAGCACCTTTTCATATCTATGGCCATTCTTATCCTACCAGCTCCATTTATTTCAATGAAATTGTATGATGTAGTCCAAACTAGCACTTATAGCCTTTAATGAGGAATTGTTTTTTTTTCCCCACATCGCCCAACGAAGAAACCATTAGTATTCTCTTGACAATTTTAAACAGGATGCTTTTCCGCCTTAAAAATGCAGCTAAGCTAAACAAAGAGCTTTCTCCATCAAGAAGCCCCTGGTTGATTGTGGTTCAGAAGGCTGTCATCTGAACCTCATCTGAGCTTTCATTTCACAGCTCCAAGATAATTGTTTAGAATTGTGCTTCCCCAAGCAATTCACAGCCCTGTCTTTGGAATTCCTACACCTATCGACCCCAGCTGGCAGTGGGGAATATGGGTGTCATCCACTGTATCTAAAAATCAGTAGTTGAAAGGGACAGGTTTACAACTGACCAGTACATAGAGAGCAGTATTCCATACAGTGAATTAGGGTTACATCTTTTTGAAACCAAGAACAAACTAGCCCATAAGAGTCTTGTTCTTGTTGCACTGCTAACCAAGGTATTTTTTTTTTTTAAAAGTCTTCTTTCTCTTCTTCTCTTTCCTTTCTTCCTCCCTCCCAACCCCAAAGGTCAGAAATTCCCCACAAATGCTAAAAGGCAAGCAGAGAACAGTTTCTGGCAACCTTTGCGACATGGTATTGAGAGCTTTTTGAAAACTTAGAATCTGAGGACCATCGCTCTGTGAATCACCTCCGACAGCATTTCTACCACTTCAGAGCTGCTTTTTGGTAACTTGTGTATAGAAGCTCTTCCCCCCCACCCCCAACCATATAATTCTCTTTTCTTTTAAGAAATCTCCTTTGGGCTTGAATGAACACACAGTTGTTGAATGTTGCACACACAGAGTTCTTTGCTCTATAGACTATCTGCTGAACCATTAGCCTAGCTAGTCTCTTTCTTGGATCCAAAGGAGTCCCTCCCTGCCTGAAACACACCCCCACCCTATATTTTCAGCATTACAGTAGCAGACTGGGAGCTCATCCACGTGAAGGGTCTGCGGCAAAAACTGCAAAGCAGACGATTTGGTGCAGGAATTTGCATAAATGCGGCAAAACGCCTTGCTGGTCATACTGCCCTTAACTTATACAGATTAAGTCTAGGGAAGCAGCCCAAAAACCTGGCAAAGGAGAAAGTGCATTTGTTCTAAGTATACATATTAAACAATGAACAGTCTGTAGTATTATATTTTTAATTGTTCTAAATTAGTATTGTATTTTGTAAGTCATCCAAAGTCCACTGGAGCGGATGTCTATATTAAATCTAAAAATAATAAAAAAATAGAGATGAAGTATTTCTTGCTGGAGGAAAGCAAGACTTGGCTGAATGTTACAATGCAGGCTTTGTACAAGTACAGCTTCCTCAGAAGTTAAATCTTGAAAGATTAGGTGGAACTTACTTCCAGATGAATATAAGCATGCAAGCAGGATTGTTTCTAAAGTTTATAGAATCAATGGGGGAAGGGGGCAGATGTGTCTGTGTTGGATTTTGGAGATTTCATACAACCGGCAGCACCTTAACTGAAGGAGACACCCATTTTTTTCCAAGTTGAACAAAGAGGGTGCCTCACTTTTAGGCAAAGCTAGTTCAAAATTAAACTAGGATGCTTTGAATGAGGAAAGCGCTATTCTTTGTTGTTCTTTTGCTAACTGTAAAGTGTTATTTTTCTATAGCATTCTATAGTAAAAATCACCCCCAAAGCTGGGCTTCCTCTTCTTGGCAAGTCTAAAAATTGGCATCAAAAGAAACACCGCCCTTTGTGTCCTTTTTTTGAAGGCAGCAGCCATTTTGGAAGCAGAGACTATATAGTCCTTCAAGGTGACACATCTGCATTTTAAACATTGAAACTGAATCTATTTGTGTTACTGATTTGGGAGCAAAACCCAAGTGGGCACGAACCTGCCAGGATGGCCACTTCCGTTCTACAGCCCACTTCATAAACCAACTCCACAATATGACCCATAAATGTTTATTTCATACAACTTCACACAGAGAGAGAAAGCATGAATGGGTTTACAACAAGAGGCAAAAACATTTATTACAGCGAATTTCACTTGTTTGCTTTTCTGGATCTAGGGCAGTGAAAATAATGATTTCTTTCGCTTCCCTTTCCAGCCTTAACATCTTCCTTAGAAGAAAGTCTTGTTGATTTCAGTCCTACTTTATGTCCACATAAAAATAGTCATTTCCAACAACTAATTAAGGTTTCATTTTTTAGGGATGTTTTGTTTTGTTTTTCTTCTTGAAAAGAATCATGTACCAACCTGTCAACAATTGCAGTCAACAATTGCTAAAACAGCACCCAAAGCAACAAGATTTAGGCAATGGCGATTTTTTTAAAAAAGAGGGATTTTGAGTGGCTAACACCCTAAGAAAGAATAGAGGAACAAGTCATTGTGGCGGAGTCATATATCCAGATTCAGCTGAACTTTGGAAAGCCAGTGGTTTCCCTTTTCTGACTTTTTTTTTTTTTTTTTTAGCAATTCTGGGTGCATTCATTCTTCCTTCTTTGGTGTTCCGCACTTCTCCATGCTGCAAGGCTACTGGATCCCCACAAAGCCTATCTGGAGAAAGCCATTTTCTGCAACCAGAGAGAGAGTCATGAGAGCCTGTGATTTTTATTTGTTTCCCCCAAGAAAGTTGCTTTAGGTGCCACTGCTAGTGGTAACCCTTTCTCAAGGAGGGGGCCCTGCTCTTGCCCAAACAGCAATTTCCAACACTGTGCTCCAAATTGAGAGATAGATAGATAGATAGATAGATAGATAGATAGATAGATAGAGTAGTTTTAATGTGAAGGATCTCCCAAAAAAGGGTTAGAACGGAGCAGGCCGTGTTTCTACCTTGACAGGCCTGCTAGAGCCGCCTGGCCAGAAAGGGAGGGCGACTGGGCTTTCTGTCCCGCGCTAAGGAGACAGAAAGCCTCGCCTGGCACACAAGCCAAGGGATCCCGCCGCTTCCAACTGGGCCTGAATGAGAAAAATCCAGTATAGAAGGAGACTCCTCTGCAAGCTTGACTCTACAGACCTCCCTCTGGCTTCCCTCCCTCTTCCTAAACTGCGTAATTCAAGGCCCAGTCAGCAGCCACTCTCTCAGGCCTCGGACGCGGTTCTGGTGGAGCTGGGAGCAGGAAAGCGCAATGGCGGGAGCAGGCCAGAGAGAGAGGGAGAGAAAGCGGAAAACAGTACTCTACTGGGGGTGGGGTGGGGGGTGGGGGCAGCTGCAGCGGCCTGAGCTAAAAAAAAAAAAAATCCGCAAGGAATTGCAGTAAATTCCTTTTTGTTTGAAGAAAATTTACAGCTCGGTAATAGAGCTTTTACGACCGACTTGGGCACGTCATTGGCTGCGCCTGGTCATGTGCGAGCGCTGCTGGCTCTCCGGGCCCTCTTTCCCCCCCTCCCCTCTCCCCCCTCTGCCTGATTTCCCTGGCGAATTTCACCCCTGCATTCTCCTTTCCCAGCGCCTCGACCCCCGTCTTTTCCCAACCTTTGTCTCCGATGTGTGGCGCATTCCGGCTGGCTAGGCTCGGCGATCCGACCGAACCGGGGAAGGCTGGTTGGTTTTTTTGTGGGGGTTTTGTTTTTTGTTTTGCAAGCCGCCGTCCCCAACGCTCCCCTTGCCTGCAGCCAGTCCGCTCTCCTCGCCTTTGCCACCCCTGGACGAGGCGCGGAGTGCGGGCAAGACGGGTGGGCGGGGAACGGCGGCGGCTGGGGGTGGCGGGAGGGCGGCGAGCCTAGCCAGCGGGGCAGCTTGTTTAGTCCTGGCCACAAAACCCCCCTTTCCTTCACGCCCTACCTGCCTGCCTGCCTGCCTGGCGCCTGCCGCTCTTCAGGTTATAACTGGACTCGGCTCCCGACCGAAGGCGCCTTGCAATGGATTACAGGGATGCGCCCGGATTCCTCGCCGCTCCACCCTGGCAGCGATCGGGTAAGGAAGTCCTTTCGTTTTCATTTCTGACTCTCGCCGCGGGGACTTCCCCTTCGGCGCTGGAGACGCCGCTCCAGAAGTCATAAAAGAAAGTGGAAGAGGTTGGGGGGGGGGGGAGCCCGACAGAGCAAGCGCCCACCCTGCGTTTAGTAAGTAGTAGTAGTAGTAGAGCACTCCCAGAGAGGAAGAAAGGGAGAGGTGAGGTCCTGCTCCTTTTGTGCCCACCTGCCTTCTCCATACGGAGGCTCCCCCAGCCCCTTCAGACCCACCTGAGCCTCTCTCCCCGACGGCTTTGTGAAGTGCGCTGAGCCTCGGAGAAGCTCGAAAAGGAAAAAAAAAAAAAAACCCTATCAACGGCAAATCCACAAAGAACCAGAGCGATTCCAGCAAAAAGAAAGAGAAAGGGAGAGGGAGGGAAGGAAGGAAGGAAGGAAGAAAGAAAGAAAGAAAGAAAGAAAGAAAGAAAGAAAGAAAGAAAGAAAGAAAGAAAGAAAGAAAGAAAGAAAGAAAGAAAGAAAGAAGAGAAAACAACCCTCACTGAATTCCCTCCTCTGCGGTTTCCTCTCTTTCACACCCCCTCTTCCCCATTTTAGAACACTCCCCCCCTTAATGTTTGGTCTACTAATCGTAGAATTCCAGCGTCTAATGAGCAACAGGTGGCTCTCCTTCCCTCCCTTCCTCCCTCCCTCCCTCCCTTCCTCCCTCCCTGTCTCATCCGGGTCCCTAAGAAGGCGCAAACCTGAGGTGCGGCTTGCACCCAGGTTTGCTGCAGGGTGATTGCGCTTCATGCGCCAGCCAGAGAGGTCCTGTGGCAGCTTAGGTGCGGGAATCCCACCGACTGAGTAAACGTCTCTTTTCGATCGGAGTAGCCGCGCCGAGATGTCTCGACAGCTCGACCCTTCCTTCTCTCGCAAGGCAGAAAACGACAGCCCAGGTTCGCGTTAAATTTCTGGTTGCTTTTGGAGGGCGAGGGGGTGGGTTGGGGGGCGTTCATAAGATTCTCTCCAGACCGTGTTCCGATGCTGACAATTCCTGGCCACTTTTAAAAATGGGGATCTTGTTTCTTTTTCTTTCTTTCTTTCGTTTTTTTTTTTTGCTTTCTCGCTTGAAGGAGTGTATTTTAAGCAGAGCAATTAAACTGTTCTTTAGTATACAGTCCTGCAAATCTGATCTGCACTGAAAATCTAAATAGATTTCAATGGTAAAGTGCAATGGGGAAAATGGCACAGGTATGAATGATATCCATTATGGTCATCTAAAAAATGGAGTACACATATTTAGGATTCAGACATTACTAATGCGTTATACAGCCTATGGCTAACTGAATGAACTGTGGGTGGGTGTGTATATGCATGCATTGGAGGATCTGTTGTGTTCATAATAACAGCAGAATGGATTTTTTTTCCAGCTATATTCCTCATATGTGTAAGTAAGTTATTTCAGTAAGGCTTGTTGCTAAATAAATATAGGTAAGATTGCAGACAATATATTGTATTTGCCCAATAATGTTATTGTCTTTTACTTTTTAAACAATTCATTCTTTGCAATGTACGATAGTTTCTGCATTGTTGCCTGGGTAAGGAAAAATGTTTTGCTTTTCTATATATTCCTAAATAAAATTAATATAGTTCCCCAAAGTCTGTTATTTATTATCTCGTTGAAAAACAAATGTGCATAATGTAATTGCTAGAATTATATTATTTCTGAATTTATATACAAATACTGTATTATAAAATGTTTAATGGTTCAATAACCAACTAGAGTGATAGGAATAATCCTCTTTTTTGCAGTTTTTGCTGAAAAAATATAAAGTGTTTAATTTTGTCCTTCTCTTGAATTATTAAAAGGGAATGTATATTCAGTTGAATGTATATTTTTAATTACTTTTGTAGAACATCACTTTCTAAATATTAGCAACCATTCTAGATGGAAGAATAAAACATCATTAAAAACTCTAGTCCAAACTGCAAGGTGATTGTAGGATTACTGCATATCGTAATGGCTCCCATTTATATCTGAGATTGGCAAAGCATTACAAACAATAATATTCATCTGTGATTAGGGAAGTCCGCCCACTTTTTCTTCTGCTATACAACATCTCTCCTCCCCCATAACTCTAGCCATTAGAATTGAGTTTAGTGTAGCTGCATTGATGACACAATACACACCTTAGCTAGAGGTATTTAGGATTTAATTCCTGAAATCTTATTGTTTGCATCCCATTTCGCAGTGGGGTTTTTCAGCTGGAAATCTGTCTCAATCCACAACCCAATTAAGATTAGTACTTAGATAAAAGTAATTCTTCTTATCTATCTAAATTTAGGGGATGGAAAGAGACTATATTGGGATACATAATACAAACTAATTAATAGGCTGACAAGACTCTGGATCAAATTCCTGCTTCTGGACATGTCCCTCCAGTGGAAGAAATTCCATTGGTTTCAGGCCAATCTCCCCCCCTCCTTTTTTAAAAGTTGTTAGCAAATATCTTTGAGATGGCTTGATTCTTCACAGAAAATATGGTATTTGTTAGGTGGAAAGAATGCAACCAGACTCCTTCTGATTTTAAGTTCCATTAAGAAATGCCCAAAATTGTACAAATGTATCTCTTAGGGTCCAGTGCTGTTCAGCTCTATTCATTTTTCAAAGAAAATTTATAACATTCACATATTAACAAAATGAAGCCTTGCTAATCAAGCAAAAAATAGAAAAAATAGTTTCATCAGATGCCTAAAATTAAAATATGAAAAATGGGGAGAAGAGCCACATCAAAGTGTAAAGGGTAATTTGTATGGCATAAAACCACTCATTCTTGATTATCATATCCTTGCAGATGTTTTGTATGGGAAGCAAGGAGGGCGAAAATAACACTTAAACCACTAGTTGTGTGTATATTAATTGTAGTCCTGCAAGATGAGTGTGTGTGTGTGTTCACACATACACACACACATATTCATTCATTCGTTTCATGGCTTCTTGTTGAATTGCTTTGTGTTTGTGTGATTTCTGATAGAAATGTATTTCTGGTGGGCTGTTTTATGAGATCCTGGAGCTGGGATGGGGGGGGGGGAGGTGGGAGAGAGATTCGGAACAAAGACAGTATTTCACTCCTTGGTTGGCAGGCAGCTGTTAAAGGTATTTACAGCTCTACTGCATTGCGGCACTGAATGCAGCTACAGCGAGTGTTAGAGCTAAAAAACAGGAAGTGAAGGGGGGGAGGAGTCGCCATAAACGCTTCATTTGGTCGGTGGGGTACAAGATAGAAAAATACACCCACCCAGAGATAATAAGAGAACATTAAAACACTTTGCATTGTGAAAACTGCTTCTTTCCTAACGAGGAGTTATATTCAAATTGGTACTTATACAGTAATTGGGATAGGAGAGGGAGTATTTCCTCCCCCCACTTTCCATTATCTTCTAAAGAGGAAGCAGCACGAGGGGGCAAACTACCCACAATAAAACAAATGTGAATAGGAGGACGTTCATTTGTGTTCCTAACTTGGGGGGGACAGAATTGAAGGAAAACCAGGATGGTTTTGAGGAGAGGAAATCGGGCACTAGGCTCAGTTCTTTGTAATTAATGCTGGGACTTTCCTTCCTTGGAAGCACTTTGTTGCTTCCCAAGTTGTCTGTTGTGTTCCACATTTTTGGATAGTTTCACACCTTGCTCTTAGATGAAGCTTGCTGCTTGACGGAACATTGCCCTCTGGTTCTCAAATTGCAATAAACCATAAAACCTGGTTTAGGTGTCTTGTTCAATGATGGCTTTGTTTGCCCAAGACTCACACAAAGCCGAACACCTGGCTTAGCACAATGTATGAAGCCAACTGTTCAAGGCAAGTTTGGTTTCTTAAATGGTCAAGACATCTAGGAAGCAAATTAACAAAAATCCTCCCAAAATGACTTAGTAAGGGGCAAAATAATAATCTCTAATAGTGTTATGCCCACCACATTTCAAAGCTTTCCAGTGGAGTCCAGGAAATTGTGAGGATGGCATTCAAGATACAGACCCTCTGCAGTCCTCTGCAGGGGTGGGGAATCTGTGGCCCTCTAGCTGCTGTTGAACCACAATTCTCAGCAACCCTTGCTAGCACTGCTAATTATGGGGGATGCTGGGAATTGCAGTTCAACAAATGTGGCAGACCATTGGTTCCCTTTTCTTATATAGTACTGTAAGGGGTGGGCGGAACAAACGAGTGTATCATTACAGCTCCACTTTGTAACTAGACAGGATTAGGTTTACACTGGATTTAGGAACATTTATGAGAATGAAATGGGAACAAGTACCAAACTGGTTCCAATAATAGATGCATTGGAACCAGAAAGGCTTATTGTAGGAAATTTGATTCCTTTCACCTTGGTATCTTTGATAGATGTTCCTTTTTAAAAAAGGAGCCCATCCCAATCTGCCTCAGACATCGACTAAGTGACAAGATTTCCTTCATTTGAACAAAGGTAAAGAACACCCAGTGGCTGGCACCTGTGGTTCGAGATCAGGAGACCCAGATTCAAATTCTGACCAGTCCTGGAGGGCCAATTCCTATGTTTCCTTAGTCCCACAATATCTATACAGGGTTGTTGTGAGAACAAAAGGAAAGGCACAACAAGAGAGCTGCGTATTGCCTTGAGCTCTTTAAATGGAAGGCACGTTTGGATTGGGAAACGCTGCACAAAGGAAAACATCACCGAAGCCCAGAATTCGATGTCTCGAC